TCATTATATATTCATAAACTATAAACATGCAAATGTCAGTCATCAGTAAAATACATTAATTTGTATCTTTCGGAGCTATATACGTATAGTACCGATCGTTTCAAACGATTGTAAATATTTACTAGGATATTCCAGTGATAGACTCGACTTGATACCATTTGCACTAATGCCTTTTTAAAAATGGCATTCTGTGCATTTCATAAATATATAATATATGTCATATGTAACGTTTTATGTATTTTAGATAGTAAAAAAGAGTTGAAAAGGTCACACGATAGCATAAATATATTATTTGTCGTAGAATAATGCGTTATATCTGTTTAAGACTGTATAAAATATATACTAAAGTGGTTACAATTGTTAATACACTTTCTTATTGTTCAGAAAGTCAATTTGTATATTGCGTGTACGCATGCAATATTTAAAACTGGAATCATGTATGTATACATATAATTTGTATTAAAGTATTACTTTTGTATTTTCATGTAGCGTAGATGAAGTTAAATATATGTTATGGTCAAGACTGAATTCAGACTGTAATATACCGTATTGTAGGTAACAAAATTAACCGTCGATAGCATAAATTTCTAAAATATAGCTTATCCAGCTGTACATATACATAATCATATACAGTCGAACCTTTCATAACGACTACTACTAAACAGCGGGCATTTTTTTGTTTCTGTCAGTGTCCGTTGTTCAAAGGTTTGGCTGTATAAGTATCTATAATTATACATATATAAGTGTACTATTTTACATACAAACACTAATTATATAATCTACATTTATAAACAATTATTTGGATTTAATTGTATTCTTGAAAAGTTCATAGTTCACGTGAAAACTGATTGTTTTATGTAAATTAAATATTTATTTTAATTTTTTTTAGATTAAGTTGAGCTTTCTATGATTGTAGTCTTATCTTATTAGAACTTATATACGTTTTTAAAAATCTTTCTTCGTTATGTTCGTTAATACGGTTTAATAAAATACAGCAAAACCTCTCTAAAGCGACCATCTTTGCTTGGAACTGTGGTAGGTGGTCTCGAAGTAAGAGTTTTATTGTATATAATTTGTTTTGTACAAGACTAGGATCCTAGTTAATACTGCTAGGCCTACATACAAAGTTTATATTTTTGCATAAAATTTATTTTGTTACATAAATACTAATAAATTATAATAATACAGTAAACCAACTCCGAATTAAGCCTATATAAAGTCAAACCTGAGAACTACGGCCATTGACGAGAACATAAAAATGGCCGTTGTTCGGAAATGGCTGTTATCAGAGGTTCGATTGTATTAATCAAATAATGTCTATAACCTGGCTAATTAAATGTAAACATTCAATTAGCCAGTTATATCCTGATAATGAATCCGGCATTATCATTTGATTAATAACTATTAAGGTAAAAGTTTTCTGCTTCGGTTCTGACTTTAATAAAGGGAGAAAAATACTTTTTGTAAGTACATATCTACATTTTTAGATTTGATAAAATAATTTTTTTTCTATTTTATTGCCTGTTTTATACGTAAGTATCTGTTTATGATCAAAAAATGAAATACAGTAGGGAAAAAAAGTTCCATATTAAATAACCACCGGAATTCATATTTTCAAACAATAAAAATACAATTTTCAGAAAATGAAAGTTTGAAAATGTGTTTGTATGTGTGTGTAGTGTGTAAATCTCTCAACCAACCACGCATCAGTTTAAGTGTACTTCGGTAATGGAAGAATATTATGGCGTCTAGAAATGTCATATTGACTTTGGTAGAGTTGGGTTGATAGTATTTTCGTTGATCAGAAGGAAAAAAAGTTTGGTTGATGTAATAGAAAATTTCTGTTTGGTTTGATAGAAAAGTTATAAAAGACATGTTTTTGCAACGTAACCAAAGGCATCCCTGCGATTCGAGTGTGTAGTTTAATGAAGATAAGAGTTTATGAAGCGCAGTTAAAAAAAGCAAAGGGAAAAAACTACTCAAAGCTTTATTATAGGCTACATAAAAGTAGGCCTATATGTATGTATATATATATACANTATTCAAATATATATATATATATATATATATAAATATATATTTTACGTTTTAAAAAATGAATGTAAGGCTGCTTACGGTAAGCCTTTAAAAAGTATATTTTGACAGGATAAATTAGCCTTAAATCTATCGCTTACTATAAATTTTTCAGCATGTTTTTTTTATTCTACGGTGGATTTGTTTAAAATGCTGTTATTCGATTTCAAATTTTTCATGTGTGCCTTATTTAAATTTTAAAAATATAAGCGGCATCCATCAATTCTGAAGTGTCAACTCTTACTGTTTTACAGAGGAATTCTGAATAAAATTTAATTTTTCTATTGGGATTACGGTATAAAATTCAAGGTGTTTTCAAGGATTATTTTACGAAAAAAGAAAAAATAAACCTAATAATAATTTTAAGTAAAAGTTTCTAATAATAATAATAATACAGAAAAAGTAATCGATAGTTAATCTAAAAATTTGATTGTTTTATGTGATATTTTTTCACTTTTTTGATTGAATATGGGCGTGTTTGACTTCCTAGAAGTCACGTTCTTTGAAAGGAGGTTAAAAAAAGGACTAACTTCTATAAGTAGGAAGTTAGTTTTGCATCTAGCAGCGTACTTTATACACGTACAGTACTCTATCAATAGTGTGATGTGTGACAAAAGTTCTTTCACGAAGACGGAAAGACTCGTCGTTTCTCTATCTACACCCAACTTAAAAATTTGTTGTAGATAAGATACTCCTATTGAAAGCTACCACACTTGTTGTATAGTAAACTACACTATTTTATCCTTATCTTCGCTTGCTGAATCCATAATATCATCAGCATAGAAAGGATGCTTTGACGTTGATTCTTAAAGAAAAGAAGAGATTTTTATGGTTAACTCTTGAAATATTTTAATTATCTGTTAAAAATTAAAATTGATTCACGACAAATTAATTAATTATTAATTTATAATTATGAAATTAAGCGATTTTTAATGTAAATTCTCTGCTAATTGTAGCACTCGGCCTTAATGTAACGTAAAATTAACGGTTAATGTGAACGTTACGTTAAATTGATATTAACATATATATATGTTTGTATATATGTTAATTTTAATGTCTTTCCTCAATAATTTAATGTCATTGTATCATTAAGTGATAAGGGAAAGGTGCGGCTTATACGAGAGGCATTCCAAGTTATGATTGATTATCTGCTTTACGAAGGAAAAAAAAAATTATAAAATATATTTTCTTCTTTCATTCGTATCAAAATGTTTAAAAATTTTAAATGGTAGATGCTTTCGTTAAATGATAAATGAAGATAAACTTCACTGCTCAATTAATTAACACCGTTAAAATTATAAATGATCCTCTCTATATGATTTATAATATTTGGAAACTCTCAAAACTCTTCGAATTTCTTCACGTAAATGGAAATTAATTCGGCTATTTCGTAGAAAATATTGCAGATTAAATTTAAAAAGTCACATTTTTCAAATTAACTCTTATTGGATAGTTTAAATTCAAATCTGCCGTGACGTCATCCTTTTTTTTTAAATTCTCCAATTAAAATAATCGAAAAATTATTGTATTATAATTTATTTAAAAGTTTTTTATGTAATTTAATAATTTTTCATCTGTTCTGATTGGTTAATTTTTGTTAAAAAAATTAATATCGATAAAGTGACGTCAGAAAAGATTCGTATTTAAACTAACCAATACAGCTATAATTCAACATTTGAGCTTGATATAATTGGTTAATTTTAAAAAGAGGCTAATAAAGTGACGTCAGCCGATTTGAATTTGAATTAACCAATAGAGTTAGAGTATTAGATTTAAAATGAGAATCAGTTCAAGAAACAAACTAATTAATTTTTTTTTAATTAAAAACTCTTAACGCATATATAAAAGGACTTCGGAAATTTATCAATTGATGTTTCTACACGTATACAATTATATTTAATTGGCTATTTTTCTTTTACTGATTTCGTAATTTTGACCTTCGAAAATAAAGGAAATAACCTTTCAGTAGACTGCAGAAGGCCAATAATAAGTAATAATTAGTTCTCTTTAGTTGTTTTAGTGTGTTCCTTAATTTCTTATCAATCGATAAATCTAACTTTCTTCCATGTAATTTTTTTTTTCTTTTTACAAAACACAGGCAAATTCCTGCGCTTAAAATATTAATTGAGTGATAATTTTAGCTAATTATTAAAATATTTCTTTTTATTATTTACAGCATATCGCCGAGAATAACGAATTCAGAAAAAAAATAAATAAAATTACATTTTTAATTTAATAATAAATTCTCAGATAATTTTTAGTTTGTATTTAATTAAGTTACTGATATTTTTCTGAATCGTAAACAATTAAAGTTTCGAAAATTAAATTACTAATAAATTTTCTATTTGCATAACTTTCGACTGAATAGAAGATAAATAAATAAATAAATGCTTGTTTATAAACATGTCATGATTATTTGCTGTTTACTGGATTTATTCTGGTGTCACACAGATTTGAATTTAAACTAGCCAATAGAGTTGAAGTAAATAATATATGACGTATGTAATTGGTTAATTTTAAAAGATGTTAATATCAATAATGACGTCATAGCAAATTTGAATTTAAACTGTCCAATAAATTTAAGCTAAACTCAATACTAATTGATCTTATTATTATTACTTTTTTAAAATTAAAGTGACGTCATAGTGTATTTAAATTTAAACTAACCAATCGAGTTAGAGTAGATTTTAAAACGAAAATTTATTTAAGAAAGTATTGATTAAATTTAAAATATTATAATAAGTAAAATTTAAATAATTCTAATTTTATGCCGAAATATTTCCATTTTAAAACATCAATTTATAAGGCAATTAATTACGTTTGCATGCACAATTTTTCTTCGAATTTAATAAAATTTTGTTATATTTTAAACTATTTTCTTTCTACTTATGTCTTATCTTTTTAAAATAATGTTTATTTATCAACAGGAGACAGAATTCCTGGAGATTTCCTATATTAGAGACGTCAGAACAGGGAAATACGCCAAAATCCCCAGGGTAAGTATCTTGAGTGAAAGTGGGAATTGACATGAAGATTGGTTTCTATACAAACGAACAGCTTTTCAAACTTATACAACCTGTAGAAGTTAGTTTGTCAGTAGCACAATGAACTGTGTATAATGCCAAGAGGGAGGGAAATTAAAAAAAATAATAATAAAAGGAATAAGAAAAATAAAAATTTAATTACTGAAATACTTTTCAATTAAAATTCTTGTTTAAAATTAGTTTAGATGTTGAAAAATTTTATCTTTTCATTAATTAATTTAATTGTGTTTAGTTTAAAATTAATGAGAATTATTTATACATTTTCTATGAAATTTTATACTGAAATTTTAAAATCTCTCTTCTTTTATAATAAATAAAACGTTTATAACTTTTAGATTCATTTAATTAATTAATTAATTATTAATTTAAACTTATTCTTCGAGTGTTTGTTATTGGATTCGTGAGTGTTGTAATAAGTTTAATTTTTAATAATTTAATATAATTAAAAAATGAATTATTTATCTTTCCATTTGTAATTTGTTTATAAATATTAAAAATTTTAATGATTTTTCTTAATAAATAATAATGGATTGAGTAATGATGGATTTGTCATCGGTAATATGATGCAGTTTGATGTCTATGATTAAACATATGTTATTCAGTACGATACTCTGACTGTGTAATTAACTATAAATAGTTATAATTATGTTTAAACATATTTATTTACTACTTATTATATTAAATAGATTATATGTGATATGTAGGACCCATATGAATTCGGTTTATATTTCTATAATAAGGAATGGTTAACTTTAATTCTGTATCAAACATTAAGTAATTTAACTTTATTTCAATTAATTGTAATTAAGTATAGTATAAAATTTCACTTGTGTTTGTGTATGTTTATCAATGGCCTTCTACTCACACTGAAGTGAATTTTGTTGCTAATTAATAAGTTATATACTTGAAACGTTAAATACTGTACATATATGGAATTATTCTTTTTATTAATATTTCTTAAATAAATAATTAATTAATTTGCATTCATATGAAGCGTTTAGTTTACATTGTACAGGTTGGCTCAAAAGTCAATTAACCGTGTTTTGCTTGTTTCGTTTGTAAATACGAACTAAAAACTCAGTTTAGAATGACGTAGTTTCTTTAGGAAATTGGCTTTAAATTATTTGTAATTTTTGGTTAATTTAGCTAATGCAAGTTAACTCACTTTTGGGTTACTCTGCATACGAATGTCTACATAGTATAATTCTGAATTTGATGTATATAATTGATTAATATGCAGACTACATAAAACTTAAACATAGTGATGTGATAAAACTAATATAACAAGTATAAATTCCGTTATAATCAAATACAAACAAACAGTTCTGTAATGTTACTCGAAATATAAAATTAATTAACATAACGTATCCAGCAGCGGATTATTCTCTAAGCAAATTAAGTAAGCTTGTTAAAGGTTCCCCAAATAGAAATTTTATTTCTAAATATTAAATAATCTAAGCTGTCCGAAATTAATTAACGATGACAGTCTTCTGACGTGTTAATTCAATACCATATAACCCTAGAAAATTTGGGATAATAAGTTTGAGATTATTATATATTTGACGTGGTATAGTCGTATATTATAATTTATAGTTGATGGTTCAATTCTGTACAGTTTAAGATAGTCAATGGCGGTTTTAATTGTGTGAAGCCCTCTTTTATTTTTATATAAAGGTGAGTCAAAAAGTCCTTTGCACTCTTTTCATTCCAAAAGTCATGGCTGCATTAACTATTAAGCAAAAAATGCTTAAGGCATTGAGGAAAGGGGCACGGAAATTTTTCATTGCCTGATTTACCATGGATTATATAGTGAAAAACTGCAAATGGTGCAGCTGAACTAGAGTCCACAAAAAGGGGTACCCCACAATAAATGAAAAAATTAAAGTATTAGCTGTTGTCATTATTGTTGTTTATATTTTGAATTACATATACAGTATATGGGAAGCACCAAAATCTTTTAAAGGCTTAAGACCTCTTAATCTGACCCTATCAAAAGTATTGAAAACGTATTAGTTTTCTTAATGAAGAACGTATCTTCAGTACTTTTGGAATGAAAAGGGTGCAAGAGACTTTTGAATCATTCTGTATATAATAATAATATCAAGTCTTTATCAAATGATACTTGATATTGTATTGTGTAGTACTAATACTGAATTTTAAGTATTGACAAGCATATATTTCTGTATGAGGGCCCTAAAAACACGTGATCCTAAGAACTTTCTATGTATAATATAAACTGCCAAAAATGAAAGTATTAATTAATTAATTCCTCTAGCCATGGTCGTCCGCAGAAAATTTTCTAGGGGAAACAAAGCTTAGAGACAGATAATTTCATCAGTAAATTTTTATTTGATTATTTAATTTTGGGGTTTTTATTTACAAGTAGAATATAGAATACAGTATTGCATCAATACAAAAATGATAGACAACGCGCCCCATGGTCGAAGGCGTAAAGTTACATATCTCAATCATTTTTACGATTATAATTTATGGAATTTTTTACTTGATCTTACAGGCAAGTGCCCCACCTCTCTGTGCGGACGTCTATGGCTCCAGCTGCAAGTAGAAAACAACATTTTATTAATATACTGTAGAGGAGAAGGTGGTATTATGGAACACTGCGGGTATTATGGAACCACCCCATTTCGAACTGATAATAAAGGCGAACTGAACTAGGCAGACATCCATAGCAAGGGGAAAACCCGTTTAACTGAAGTAAAACGGTTGTCCGCATTTAATCAGCAAATTTGTCTTTTTCAAAATTCGCAAGTTTTGAATGCTAACTGAATTTAATTATTTTTAAAATATAAATCGAGTAGTTGTAGGTTCACTGGTACATGTATTCCGTTCCAGAAACTTGGGGGTACATATTAATCTGTGTGATGTTCACGTTTTTTAAATTTTGGTCTCGACAGACGTAAGTTAATTCGAGATGGCGATGCGTGAAATACGGACCCCATTGGTGCTTTTACAGTAATATGGAACTCAACTCCTCCGAACTTTCTACTTGCAAGCAGACATTCCTCCAGAGCAATTTGTGAAAAAGACACTAGGTAGAAAGTCAATTCTTCCTGAGAATATCGAAAAAAAAAAGCTGCTGGAAAATATATTGTTGATGGAGGTCATATTTTTCTATTATAAAAGGATTTTTGAGATAAAATACATTGGAATAAATAATTTTGTAATTATTTGACATTTTTTGCCCTTTCCTATTTGTTTTTGGCTACATTAAAGCATTTTTTGAAAATATACAGTAAGGTTCCATATTACCACCCGATTTTCTCTAAGCCTACTTTAGGACTTTTTTGTACAAAAGCCTTCAAAAACCATACTTATAATTACACTAGCGAAAAATCCAATTAGGAACATTTAGTTTACTAGTTACCAGTACTTTTCGCACAAAAAATGTGGGTGTAGTTATGATACCTTGTTTACAATTCACTAAAATGTAATTGGGGTTCCATAATACCACCTTCTCCTCTATATTTTTTAAAGAATAAATTACATCTTAAAAAATTAAGAAATCTTCTAAAAATTTCAAGTAAACTTTTGATAATTTGTTTTTAAAATATTGAAATTTATCATTTCTTTCTTTCTTATTTCTCCGCTGCTTTATAGAAACTTTGGGATTTTAGGATTAATCAGACTAGATAATCGGATTTGACTGCCAACATTTAAAATTTCATTATTTAAAAAAAAAAGAAATACTTTTATTAAATTATAAGATTTCATTCAAAGAAATAAGATTTAATTTATTATTATTTTTTTTAATTTTAAAGTAAAAAAGTTCGTGTCATGGTCGCATGTTTCAATAACAGGATATTAATTTTGTAATATTTAAAAAGAATTTTTTTTTTTGTGTTTACAAATACTAGAAAATGAAATATATATTTTTCAATTTTTATTATATTTTACATTATAATCCATTTTTCTGATTTAAAAAATAAAAAATCAGTTTATTATTATTTCGGGATGGCTTGAGATTTATATTAAAAATTTGAGATGTTGAGAAACGTAAAGTTGTTGATGCAGAATTTAAAGTTGCTTACGCGTGCAATTTCCCAAGTTACTCCGAAATTATTTAATAAACTCGAGAAATATAGATTTTTGAAGTGGATGCCATACCGCAACTATCCGGCAATTTTTATATATATTTTTTTAATATTAAAATAACCTATAGAGTTATATTCCTTTGCCGGTTTAAAAAAATATATATTAAATATTTATTTATTCCATAATTGAATTCTTTTATATATATAGACTATATTTTTAAACCAATAATCGAGCTGGATTTGAAAATTTAAAAATTAACCAATAGATTCATGTAAATTTTCAAATCTAGATTACGTATCTGTTAATTTTCGAATTTCAAAAATGAATAAAAGATAATTGGTTAATTTTTAAAATTTAAAATGCAGATATATATCTATTGGTTAGGATATAGCCAATAGGATCTAACCACTACCGATCTAACCAATAGACTTATATGTATATTTTAAAACAGAGAAATAAACCAATAGACTTTTAATTTAGTTTTAAAATTAACCAATAGGTGAGTTTCTGTATTTAAAAATTTAATGATTATAATTTTGGTCATTTAAATTAAATTTAGCAAATATTGATTAATTAATTTTAAGATGTAACCTTTAAGTAAAATGAATAAATTATGTCACTTGATAAAATTTAAAATATATAGAATACTTTATTTTCTAATTAAAATTGAATTTTTTTTTTAATTAAAATATAAATAAATAAAATAAAATTCTTGATTTTAACGGTTTACAGCATTCAATAAAGCATTAACTACTGGTTTAGTTTTAAATTAAAAATTGATTGAGTAATATAATAATAATAATAATAATTTATTTTCAATGTTAAAATTTTTACAAATTCAAATAAAATAAAAAAAACTTTTTAATTGCTTCTGTAATTAGTTTAACAAGATAAATATT